AGTTGCACAAGAGATGGAAGAAATATCACTTAATAATCACATTTGTGTTAAACTGAATCCATTATTCTTTATTTTTACAATAAAATAATTCGAATTTCAATATTTATAACGACTTTTACAATCTCTGGATAAATCAACGGATAAGTGATCAGTAGTGGAATTACTATGTTTGCCATAGTATCAACAATGCTCAGATAATGGCAGGCATTGTTGTTACAATTAATATTAACAAACTTTTTAATTTATTAATCTTTACAAAAGTAAAACACTAAAAAATTGCCACAGCTTTAAATTCTGTGCTTTCTTCTTTGCAAAAGTAAAATAAACTTTGTTCTAGCTGTCTTAGTTTTTGTGTAATAAATTTTTATTTCTAAAACTAAGCGAAATCGACCAATAAAATTTTAGCGTAAAAACATTGTTTTAAAAGGCTACATCCACAAATGCCAAGAAACATATGGTGTTTCATTAAAAAAAACACAAGTTTGTATCGTAACGTATTTTTGGAACATGCTGTATGGCTGAAAATAATTTTAGGTGATGCAACAGATTAGTATCAATCAATGTCCTACATAATTTTTTTGAAATTATACCATTTAAAGATCACTAATGGACTTTTTCAACTCGCTGGGACACCCTGTTTACAAAATCATCAATATACTCGTTTTCATATTACTGTGCATCGAAGTAGCCGTTGAAATGGATCATTTTACGGTGGCAACCATGCGAAAATTCAAACAATTCTAACCTCAATCATCTCTAAAAATTATTTTTTCAAATAAATGTGTACCACAGGTAGCAAAAAATAATTAAAATTAACAACGTAATTAATATAGGGTGGCAAACTTAAAGATATTTGTCATTACTGATGTGATTAAATTTGTCTTGAATGACATTAGACATTTTTTGTGTGAATTGGTCTTTAAAATAAAAATGCATTTAGACTTCTACAACCTACTTGATGCACATTAATATAAAAAAAGAGTATAAAACGTCAAATGTCAAAAAAATAAATGTCAAATTGTTTTGATAGATAGAATGTTTTAAACATTTTTCAATGTTCCTATTTTACTTGAAATTTTTCTCTGGGACGCGAGTTCTGACACCCCCTGTTTAAAACTTACAATCGAGGCGTCTTGAAATCTCCTTGTAGCTCTCCCCTTTTTCCTTTTTTACGGGGGATGGGGTTGAGTAAGTCGAGTATAGAGAAGAATCGAAACTTGAGAATGACCTCAGAGGGGGTGGTCTCGGACGTGGAGTGTGCGGGTTTTCAGTGCGTTGGCTTGTGGAGTCCCACGAAGGGCGAGGCCCTGGTTCTAGACAATTACTCAAAATTGGCTAATAAAAAAGTAAAAAACTGACCGTCTTTAAGCTTGAGGAATCCGTGGTTGGAATCCATGTGGATTTGTTTATATTTGAACATAACTAACTCTCCACATTGTAGACATTTATCGGTCCGTGTCCCACAGTAGTTTTCATGTTCTTCCAATTCTAGTTTGGGGAGCTCAAGTTCGCAGAATTTGCACGCAATCAAGCTCGGTTTCTTCTCACTGCTCTTCAATGTGTGTCCCAAATCGACGAATTTCTCCAATTTCTTCATTTTATTCTCTTTCCTTTCTGCAATTTTCCGATCTTCCACCGCTTTCCTCTCTTGGAAGTAGGCACTTTTCTCCAAGTTCGTCGGGGGCGGTTCGGCTTTTCTAATTTTCGGTTTAACCGCCACGCAATTTTTTTTATGGCTCTCAAATTGACTCTTCGGGATCGGTTCTTTGCACACTTGACACAGTGTTATATTGCGTGCACAGTGTGCACTATGCATAACATAATTGTGTTGAGGAATCTCCTTTTTGCTACGATTGTTTTGTGTCATTTAGGGGAAAAAAACAAGAAAAACACTCACCAATTGCCACATAACTCGTGCTCCATTTCGCCGTTCATTTTCACACTTGAATTTTCGCAAAACGCGATGTGAATGCACTGAGAAAGAACACTAAAGGTTGTCGTAAATGGATATTTTTAGCATTCACGACTCTTCCAATGACTGTACGAAACTATTTTTAACACCAAGGCATTTTATTCCAAACCACCACTGATGGTTTCACTATTTTTACGAGGTTTATTAATCGACGTATCGCGATTTTTTAGCAATTGCGTAATTCGGATGAACGTTGCTATGTGTTTTCTCACATCAGCTGCACACTTATCACTATTTGAAACCAACTACGCAGATGCTAACTGCTTAATAGGGACTTCCCCCATTTAGCTGTGTTGTGCGTCATCAGTAAAGCAACTTGATAAAATAATAAAACAATACAATTAGATCAGCTATCAAAAACAAAAATTTTGTCTCATGTTTTTGTGACCGATAATAAGATAAGGATATTTCCTTGTTCCAACACAGCCACTAGGACCACATACAGGGTGTTCCATTTTTATTGTCACAAATTTAACCAGGTGATAGAATATTCAATTTTAAGATAAAAGTTTCCTATAAGCATATATCGAAATATTTTATATAAGGGAGTCACATCCCCTGAAAGGGGTGCATCTTTTAATGGATTTTTTCCAATATGTCAGAAACCATCGTAGATATGTAGGACCATTTTTGAGACACGAAGTTAAAGCCGATTTGAACACGTGCAAACTTCATTACAATGGCCGTTGGTGAGCTAAATTTGCGAAAGGAACGCAATTAACAATTGTCAGGAAAATTATTTTAYGCCGGCGGCAATTTTAACAACTCACTACTTTAATAKTTTTGAAAGTACTCAACCACTTTGAAATAATCCTGTCAGAACAGCTGGTGCCAAGGTGTCGAGGTCAGGTCATCATTTAATGATAAGGCAACGCCTGTAAAAATAAAATGGGGGTGTGAGTAATCCAGTCCATCGGAGTGAGACGTCCACAATCATAATTCGTGAATAATTAAATATAACAGTGATTAACCCAAAATAATTATACAAATTTATCAACAATAAAATATGT